CTATAATTCCTTTCGTCAATCAAAGTTTCCTTGTTTTAGCACATTCCAATATGTCATAAAATGATGTGACTTCTATTGCTCCAAATAATGCTAAAAAATTTGAAATAGAAAGCGATATCCTTGAAAGACCAACTTAATAAAAATGTGGCCAAACTAAGCACTGACTGAAAATAATTTTTAAAATATTTGTATAGAAAAGTACAACATGAAGATACTTTCCATGCATTGTTTTCTGTCTTATTTCTAAGGCTCATCATGGCATGATTTATCACTGAAAATGATAAATTTAAACAATGATTAGATCTTTAAAATATAACTAACATTTGTATACTACAAATAATAAAATCAGCCAAAAATCTAGATCTGTGCCTGTGGAATTGATTGGCAGAGTAAGACTAAAATTTAAGATGCAGCAAATTTCAGAAGCACTCATCAGACTCAGCATAAATACTAGAGCTCCATCGCTGTTTTTCAGTGCTCATCTCCTGCTCCGGACTCCGTAGTCTCTGGCTCTGGTTTTTAGCAATCTTCTCCAGATCATCTCTGGCTCCGGGGCTCCGGTTTTTAGCACTCATCTCTGCTTCCAACTCCGGGTTTTAGCAGGACGCAAAGGAGGTTTGACAGGGTCAAAAGGTCACTTAATTGGCATCACATGAGCCCTTATTAGAAATGGGACACAGTTTTTTTACTCATGTACCCGTAGTTTTTATTCCTCCAAATGGTTTCCAAAAGCATTTTAAGAAACTTGACCTTATTAGCATCCATGTACCCCGCTTAATCTCTTATGAGGCAAAAGGGAATACTATAGTTATCGTAGCCACCAGGTTTGTGAAAGTATGCCAAATATTTAATTATTGTGATGAAATTATTTCCTGTAAAGACTTCCTGTCAGCCTCCTCTGAGCAGGACCCTTAAAAAATTTGAAAGTTTGTCCCATTTAAACACCTCCATCTTTATCTTGTTCATTGTAACCACAACCTCCAACTGTCCCATAACTCCCATTTCAATATTTCTTTTTACACTTTATAAGAGGAGGCATTTTCAGCCAATTTTATAATTACGGAATAGGTATCACAAGCTCTCGATTCAGACTCGACTGGATTTAGAGGGGATTCGCTCAATTTTGCCTAGCACCTTCATTAAAAGTGGGTGTGGTCACAATGAATAAACTGGCAGCTATCAGCAAGTCTGACCTTAATTTGCCACAGTGACAAACAGCAGCAAGATAAGACTAAACTGCTGTTTAAAAACTTCTTTTGCAAGAATAAAGGTTAGGAAAGCAGATATACAATCTTTTTCCTTGATTCAAAGGACTCTGATAAGTTGAATGCAAGTGAGAAAGTTGCATGTACTGTAGCTAGCTGCACCATGCATATTCTAGGTGACGTCTCTTCTCCAGCAGCAAGCCTAGGTTAACAAAGCAGGTATACAATCTTCAAATATGATTTGTTCAGTGACTGCTTCTAACTATAAGCAAGATAACTTTAATTTAAGCAAGATGACTGCCAGTCTGCAACAAGATACTGAATTTAGACATGTGCAATTGCTTTGCTAGCTCAGACATGTAGATCATACAGCACATGGATAATCTATAGCTTGCTTAGGCTCGCCCCTTTAATGTTATACATTACTCCTAGTGATATTACATTTGTTGTCATAGAACCTACTTCGGAGTTTCTTCCATTCCTTTATCCATCAAGTTATAATGTGTATACTAATGTTGATGATGGTTCTGCTAATGTTATGCTACCAACTGCACTTGAGTTTGGAGGCTTTCACTATAACAAAGCTTATGTGAGTAAATATAATCATGCATGTTGAAGCAAATTCTATTCTAACTGTAGATTAGCAGCAATGGATTAGTCAGCTTTGGTAGTGCATATAATTCCTATATTCCAGTGAACTTCCCTCTTCAAAATAGTTTAGCTGTTGTGGCTCCATTTTGGGATGA